GTTGGGCTGAGAGACACCCCGCCAGTACACAAATTTTTGTGCACCGGGCTTCTAGTTACATATAATAAAGGAGCCAATTCTCTAAGAAAACTTAACAATCCTTAAAGTTTATGTACTTCACAACAAAGCATCAACATATGTGAGACAATACTGAACGTTTGAGGAGAAATAGACAAATCTACTGTTATACTTGGAGACTTCAACACCCCTCAATCAGTAACTGACAAATGCAGCAGACAGAAAATCAGTAAGGATATAGCTGAACTGAACAGCACGGCAATCAAGCGAATCTAACTGGAATTACAAAACATTTCATCCAACAACAGAATACACATTCCACTCGGACTCACACAAAACATTCACCCAAATAGACCACATTCTGGGGGCGAAAAACAAATTAAAAGGAATAGATTATACAAAGTACGCTCTCAGACTACAATGGAATTAAACTAGAAACCAATTAACATCAGGGCTAAAAACCCCAAACAACACACTAGCGTCTAAACAACAGACTATGAAATAACATATGGGTCAATAGGAACTTTTAAAACATTTGAACTAAAAGAAAACAAAAATACACTCATGAAAAAGCAGTGCTTAGAGGAGAATTTATAACATTGGTGCACACATTAGGAAAGAAGATAGAACTAAAACTAATCATCTAAATGTCCACCTTAGGAAATTAGGAAAGAAAAGCAATATAACCTAAAGCAAACAGAATACAGGTAGAGCAGAAACCAAAAAAACTGAAAAGAAAAAACAGGGTATCAACTGAAAAAAAAAATCAATGAAACCAAAATATGTTCCTTTGAAAAGATCAATGAAATTTATTTGAGAGAGAGAAAAGACAAGTTAATAATATCAGAAATCAAAGGAGTTAAAATTATTAATTCATGGACATCAAAATGAAAATAAATATTAAGAACAACTCTATGCCCACAATTTTGATAGCTTAGTTGGAATGGGCCAATTCTTTGAAAGACACAAACTATCAAACTACATATACAAAAATAGGATTATCTGAATAGATCTATATCTACTAAAGAAATTTAATGAATAAGTAATAGTCTTCTAAAAAATTAATGAACTAAAGCCCAATTTCACTGGTGAATTCTACTAAACATTTGAAGAAGAAATAACAAACACCATTTCTCTATAAACCCTTCCAGGAAATAGAAGCAGAGGAAACACTTCCTACCTCATTCTATGAGGCCAGCATTATCTGAATACCAAAATTAGCTAGACATTACAAGTAAGAAAAACTAAAGATCAATATATCTCATGAACACAGATACAAAAATACTCAGTAAAACATTAGCAAATTGAATCTAACAATGTATAAAAAGAATTATATATCACAACTAAGTCAGATTTATTCAAAAGATGTAAGGCTGATTCAATATTCAAAAAATTAAAAGCATAATCCATCACATCGACAGGGTAAAGAAAAATCACACGATCATATCAATAGATGCAAAAGAAAGCGTTTGACAGAACCCAACATCTATTCATGATTTAAAAAAACAAAACAAAAAGCTCCCAGCAGACTCGGAATAGAGAGGAACACCCTGAACGTGATTTGTTTAAATTTACAAGAAAATCTACAGTTGACATCATACATAGTGTTGAGAACCTAGATGCTTTCATTAGGATGTCCGCTCTTATCACTTGTTCTCAACATTGTACTGGAGGTTCTATCCAGGAAAATTAGCCAAGAAAGAGAGATAAAAGGTATTCAGATTGGAAAAGAAAAAGTAGAACTATCTCTATGTGCAGATGAAATGATCTTGTATATAAAAGACTCCATAAAGAATCCGCTAAAAAACTACTGGAACTAATAAATGAGTTGAGCAAAGTTGCAAGATATAAGATCAATGTACAAAAATCAATTGTATTTCCATAAACTTGCAATGAATAATCTACAAATGAAATTTAAAAAACTTCCTTTTATAATAGCATCCAAAAATAAATAAATTCAAAAACCGGTAAAATTTACTCTGCAAATTACAAAATATTTTTTAAAGAAATTAAAGAGCTAAGTAAATGGGAAAAACATCCCATTTTCATGGACAGGAACACTTAATATTAAGAGAGCAGTACTCAAACTTTCAGCCTCAAACCAATCAACAGAATCCCAGTTAATCTCCCATAGAAATCTGCAAGCCAAATCTAAAATTCATATAAAACTAGAGGCCTGGTGCATGAAAATTCATGCACATGGGGGAGTAGCCCAGCCTGCACCCTCTCACAGTCTGGGACCCTCGGGGGATGCCCACCTGTTGGCTTAGGCCTGCTCCGCAAGAACAGATGATCTAAAAGAAATAATCATATCCTTGGGTAAGGATTTTTTTAAAAGGTAATGGTCACATGAAAATTCACTGCCGACAGGGCTGAAGAGACTGGGAGACTCCAGCAGCAGGAGTGCCCCCCGGCAGGGCTGAGGGGACTGGGCGCCACCATCTTGTGGCTGTGGGCACTGCCATCTTTTGAGGGCATGATGGTCAATTAGCATATTACCTCTTTATTATATAGGATGCAAGAGACCTACAATAGATAACCTTGAAAAGGAAGACCAAAATAAAAGAACTCTCACTTCCTGATTTGAAAACTTACTACAAAGCAACAGTATCAAGACAGTCTGGTGCTAGTATTAGAAAAGATATATAGGTCACTGAAACAGAATTGAGAGCCCAGAAATAAATTCACATGTCTATAACCAGCTAATTTTCAACAAGGTTGCCACGACCATTCAATGGTGAAAGAATAGTCTTCCCAACAAATGGTACTGGGACAACTGGATAGACACATACAAAAAAAATTAAACTGAACCCTTACCTCACACCATTTTTATATACAGATATATAAAAGTATTATGTATAATTAGTGAATACATGTTAAACTATGTTAACACACTGTATGTGGGAAAAGTATTTATACATTTTAAGTTGACTGGTAGTAGAGCGTGGGACAAGTATTAATACGTTTTTTATAGACTAGCGGTAGAATGCGGGTAACGTATAAATACGTAAACTAAAGTTATCGTAATTTTACTGAACGTTGCCATTTGCGCAAAAAATTAGCAAAAATGGCCCGCGCCACCTGTTAGCGCACGATAAAAACTACCCGCAAACGATGTGTTAATACAATTATAGCATTATTCATAAGCCTAAAGATGGAAACCCAAAAGTCTATTAACTTTATATATATATAAAAAGCTAGTGAACGGAAGACCATAACAACTGAAACGGCCTGTCACTATGACGCTTACTACAGTCAGAGAACCAGCCTGATCTGGGGGTGGGGCCAGCCAGCCAACCTCCCACGGCCCTTCCCCCCACATGGCCTGGCCCAATTGGCCCCAATCAGGGCAGGCCAGCCAGACCCCACCCATGCACGAATTCGTGCACCCCTGTCAGGGGCAAGGCCCACCAGCCAACCTCCCACCATCTCCTCCTCCTGACAGGCCCGGCCCCAATCAGCCCCAATTGGGACCGGGCCGGCCAGACCCCACCTATGCACAAATTTGTGCACTGGGTTTCTAGTAGATAAATAAAATCTGTTATATCTATACAATAGAATAATATTATCCTAAAAAGGAATGAAGTACCAATAATGCTACAACATAAATGAGCCTTTAAAGTGCCCTGACCAGTGTGGCTCAGTTGGTTGGAGTGTCATCTGTATCGTGGGTTCAATTCTCGGTCAGGGCACATATCTAGGTTGCAGATTCGATCCCTGGTTGGGGCATATGTGGGAGATATGTGTATGTATGTCTCTCTCCCTTCCTCCCTCTCTAAATAAATACATAAATAATAACACTGAGTGAAAGAAGGCAGTCACAAAAGACCACATATTGCCCAGCCAGTGTGGTTCAGTGGTTGAGCATCAACCCATGAACCAGAGGGTCACAGATCCCCTCCTAGATAGGGCACCTGCCCAGGTAAAGGCTCAATCCCCAGTGTGGGGTGTGCAGGAGGCAGCCAACTGATGATTCTCTCTCATCATTGATGTTTCTCTCTCCCTCTCCCTTCCTTCCTCTGAAATCAATAAAAAAAAACTAAAAACAAACATATTTCTTAAAAAAAAAAAAAAGACCACATATTATATCACTTCCTACCTTCTTTAGCTAGCTAGCATGCCATCTTTGTGGGCATATAGGTTAATGAAATAAATCCAAAACCATTCCACTATTATTTCTCCCCCTTTCATCTCCTAGGAAAACTATAACCCACCATAAAATCAGTACAAGCATGTTATCCTAAAAATCAGATACTGTTTAATGCAATTTTCAATTAAGAGAGATTACTTATATCAGGAATTCTACATAGAAACCTTTTGAATAAAAATTAATAAAAATATTTCAACTTAGAAGCTACTAATTAGGTATGTAATAGCACTCAAGCCCTAACTTTCTATGGCTTCAGTGTCTTCCCCAGGAGAGGGGGTAAGAATCCTATTAGCCAGAGACTGCAAATACATGTGTGGGCTGCTATTCCTCCTCTGAACAGCCCCTACTAAGTGATCAGAGATGGAATCACAAATAGCACCTGAGGTGAAACTTATCTGTCATTGCCAGACAAGTGATCTAAGCTTCCTTCCCCTTCTAGCATTTTACTGTCTGTGACCTACTTGAAATCAAATACATTTGCAGTGAACAGTTCAGGCACAGATAGAGACAACACACTCAAACTAACTTAAGAGGTTGGAACCTCAAAATACAGAAATTCTTTATCATCTTTAAATGTACAGTGTACTTTTAAAAGGATATGCCACTACCTATACATTCCTCTATTTCAGATGTGAAACTCAGGGGGAAAAAAAAAACAAGTTTAAGTGGAAAAACTTTAAAATACTATCTCTTGCCAAAACCAGTTTGGCTCAGTGGATAGAGCGTCGGCCTGCGGACTGAAAGGTCCCAGGTTCGATTCCGGTCGGGGGCATGTACCTTGGTTGCAGGCACATCCCCAGTGGGAGATGTACAGGAGGCAGCTGATCGATGTTTCTCTCTTATCGATGTTTCTAACTCTCTATCTCTCTCCCTTCCTCTCTGTAAAAAAATCAATAAAATATATTTAAAATACTATCTCTTTTTCAATTTCCAATATAATAGTATTCTTTAATATGAACTACATTCTGATACTCAGGCATACTTGAATATTCATTCCTGAAGAGACCCCTATTAAAAAAAATTTCCTGAAAAGCAGATGCATATCCAGTTACAGATTTATATAGAACTCAAAAAGGTGAGCACCTTGACCAATATTTAGACCAGCAGTCGCCAACCTTTCAGAACTCATGGACCACCAGTGGTCCAAGGACCACCGGTTGGCGACCACTGCTCCAAAGGTTTCCTTAAACCAGTGGAGCCCAACCTTTCAGACCCCACAGACCACCAGTAGTCCGCAGACCACTGGTTGGCAACCGCTGATTTAGACAATTACATAATTCTGTCAAAGTGTTATTTCTAGCATCTTTATGTGGCTTCTAAATGTCAAAATGTCAAATGCCCCCAATAAAGCCTTCCCGCTAAATGATCCACTCCAAATTTCCAGTTCTTTCTTGGTCTCTATCAAACTCCCATTCCCTCAGCCCAACTTGCAACTGTTATAAAAACATTCTGATTCAAATGGAAAAAAACTTTTTTTTTTTTTGCTTTTTTCAGGGAAAAAGTCAGAGTCAGAGGGGTGCAAGAGAGGAGGGAAATAATAGTTGTCTGGCACCATAAAAAAGTGAAAAAGTGTTAAGAAAGGAAGCTCATTGGCCAAAATATAAAATAAGTGCTTACACAGGCCAAGTATTGTGCTGGGTGCAGGAGATATGGTATTCAAGATAAGGCCCACCCTTGACAGAGGTTATACTAGCCAGAAACAATAAGTAATAAAGTGGTATCAAAAAAAGTAGTATCAATAGAATACATGACCTGTGCCTTGAGTATTGGGAGGAGGACATAACTTAGTCTTAGACATCTGGGAAGGCCTCCTGTGAAGATTAGCCAAGGGCACAGCGACATTTGAGAAAAAACATGACACTCTCAAGGAACTAAAAACTAGAGGATACTTTTATAAACAAAGGCAAGAGATGAGTCTAAGAACATGGAAGACACTATAAGGGACTCAACTTCATCTCAAAACGTAACCGTCACTGAAGGTGACTTGAGGAGCATAGCTGTACTTCTACAAAAGTCTCTATCAGCCTAACCCACCCACTAGAAAGGTGTTCAAGAAGGGGAAGGTATGAGGAAATAACAAAAAGGGAGAGATGAACAGTACTTCAGAGACTTTGGAGTATATTCAGGCATCTTGGATTAGAGCTGCAATGCCTGGAACATAGATGCTCAATCTTATGCATCAATATCTATTATAAGCAAAAAGGAATTATAGAGATGAAGAGCAATCAAGAGGTCAAACATATATTACTGTTGTAACTGAGAAGTCTTATTAAGAACTGATTTTTGTAAAACTAAAAATACAGCTCTTACTAGTTTTTGTCTATTAGCTTTTAAATAAAATTGGTTGGTTGGTAGAGTTTGTTGTTTTAAATTGGGTTCAATTTAAAAGACACTATTCACCTTGTTATACATATATCTAAGCATGAAGTCCAGTAGAAATGATTTCCCTTTACGAAAAGCTCCTGCCACGGATACTACCACTATGTTAAGATCACGAATGTGCTCCTGTAGCAATATCTGCTCCAAAGCTGCTTCATCAAGCTCAAAGTTATGGTCATCTTCATGAGCAAGAACAATCTGTACTGGACATGGTTTCTTCATAACCTCATCAGAGTTTACTAGGTTCTCATCTTCATAATCCTCACCTAGAATTTAAAAAAAGAAAAACATTACTTGAATTCCTGCGTTACAAACTTTTTCTAAAGGATCACAACTAAGGCAAAATTTCAATTAACTTCAAATACCACCCCCCCACACACACACCTTATAACCATCTGAAAATATTTATAAGTGATGGCCAAGTAGAGGTTGGATTTCCCCTTCCTTCTATAATAGGACCAAGAATACCAGTAAGATTTCCCACTATATCTACAGTAATAAAAGCATAATATGCTAGTTAGACCGGACAGTTGGACTACCTTCTGGACAAAGCCAGGGCTGTGAGGGCCAAGCCCCTTGAACGAATTGCATGCATTGGGTCTCTAGTATACAGATAAGCAGCAATGCTAAGTATGGCTTCTATCTCAATTAAGTCTTTAACAGCTAAATGTGAACAGTAGATGTTGCTGCATTATTCCATAAACAACTTTTGCTACTGTATGCACACAGAAACTAGTTGAGGGTGGGAGGATCAATTTCACCTAATAATTCACAATCCAATTTTCCTTGTAGGTATTGCCTGAAAATTATTCCAAGTTACAAAGATTAAAATATGTATGAAATGTAAACACTTTTCATTCTGAAACTTTAGAGGGCTATGTTAAGGTCCTCAGAAGTCTCCATAAATGAGACTATGATAAAGCTAACGAGTCCCTAATTTAATTAGAGTAACCCAATAGTACATGGTAAAGCAAAGCACAGGATTAATGTTTAGTGCAGCGGTTCTCCACCTGTGGGTCGAGACCCCTTTGGCAGTCGAACGACCCTTTCACAGGGGTCGCCTAAGACCATCCTGCATATCAGATATTTACATTACGATTCATAACAGTAGCAACATTACAGTTATGAAGTAGCAACGAAAATAATTTTATGGTTGGTTCACAATATGAGGAATTGTATTTAAAGGGCCAGAAGGTTGAGAACCACTGGTTTAGTGGAAGATAAGAAAAATGGTCAGTGAGATGCACAGTTCTTAGTTTCAGCTACCTCCGGTGTTCTTTTGCACCAAATACCACAGCCACCACCTTCAAAATTACACAGCTCGCCAAAACAGCTACATAAACTCTTGTCCACCCAGCACACCTGAAGAAAGTAACTCTTGCAGAAGAACTTTACCGAACAATGTATCTCTCTCAACTGAATGGGAGTAAAAAGCCGGGACAGGTTGTAAACACAGATGACAAACAGCAAAACTAGTTAAAGCTCCATTGCTACCTCTCTATAAGCCTTAACTGGCAAAGCCTCAAACTGAAATTGCTTTACTTTCAATACTCTACCCTGCTTTTGTGTCCTTTATTATAATTAGGATTTCCACAGTAAGGATCAAAATTCAAATTTCTAACTATAAACACTATGACCAACTCAAAACCAAGGATTGTTGCCATTAGCTGATGCTAATCATCCAGTTAAAAAGCTGGAGATGTGCTTAGCAAAAATATATGCACTCTGCTCTACTTTTTTTTTTGGTACATTTTTTTAGATTTTGGAACTTTTTGCTTTCACTATAATCTCAAAAAAAGTAAATCACCATAATGTCAAAAATGTTTAAGTAAAAATATTGTCACTCTAGAAATAAAGCATGGCACTTTAAAGTCTACAGAAGTGAGGAATAAAAGAATACAAATTATCTTCCAAGTTCAAACTATCATGTTCAACAAAGCACAGTTGTAAAGGACAAGGAAATATAACTGAAGGAAGCATAGACCTCTAGGTCAGTACAATTACCAGTAATCTTGTTAAATGTGACAGACTGACTAACGAAGTGGACAACTTGATAGAACGCATATCCGCAAATCCATACAACTGAATCAAAGAGGCCATTTCCTTATAAAGGCACAATCTACAGTCTTCAAAATGCTTAAAAACTGAACAGGTGAGCTAGTAAAGGAGTAAGTTTTTAGCTGAAAATATTATTTGAGAAGTTTAGGAAGATAACTGACTGGCTCTGAAATTCGGTGGAAAGTATTAAGTGCCATTACAAATGCACTGTTACCTGGAAGAGAAGAAATTGCTATTTGAGATCACTGTCAACAAAACAGAATTTCTCGGAAAGTGAATGCATTAGTAAAGCCAAGAAAGAAAGAGCAATGCAGAATTTCAAAGTAAACTTGGTCTGTTAGAATTTCACTCAAAATAGTTCACCAACAAAGCACTTTCAAAGTGGAAAAGCAAGAAATCATTGAAGAAAAATTCTTCTCTAGCATTTGTTACTCACAGTTTTAGAGCATCAACAAGAAAAATATGAACTAGATAGTCACTCTGGATATAATTCTAAGGTCTTTTACTAAAATAATGTATTAGTATTATATATATAATCAGTAGTAGGTAATATGTTTATATTGGACATCTAGTTTATATTCCTAATAAATGTTCTTAAAAGATTGTTCAATATTCATTTATTTTCAAGATCAAGTATGATACAGAATGAAACAGATTTCCTAAATCAAATTCCCAATTAGAAATAACACACACAGGAACCAATTAAGTAGTGTCTAAAGTCTTGCATAAATAGAATCAAGGTAGTCTTCACTCTAGAAATGGGGACTACAAAAAGGCAGCAACGCACCATGATTTCGAGGACAACTAGGTGAAAAACTGATGGGATCCATCAGCGATTTGGGATCCATCAGCGATTTTCAACTTTTTTCATCTCATGGCGCTCCTGAGCTAAATAGAAGATATGTGCAGCACACCAAAATATATTTTTGCTGCTCTGACCAAAGAAGGGTATAATTTTGATTCATTCACACCAGATAGCTATTATTGTTGACTGCTGTCATCTTTTATTTGATAATCTAAGAGAAAAGAGGTCAGTGCTCCTGACTAAATAGTCAGGTATTACACGTTTTACAATTTCCTAGGGCACACCAGTTGTAAATCGCTGCCTTATATACAATTATAGGCACCTAATTATTTAAAAAGTCACTTTGGAGCAAAAAGGGTAGGTAATTATTACTTTTTTTTTTTTGGTAAATCAATCAAAAGTGTGCCTATGTTTTTGTCAGATTAGCAAAATGTATTTTTTTGGTGTGCTGCAGAATTGTAGTAATTAGTTTATGTGTGCCATGAAATGAAAAAGTTGAAAATCGCTGCTCTAGATCTCACTACAGGGAAGGAAATATAGGAGACACATTCACCACAACCAGAGATGGAGTCAGAAAACTCTAGAACATGGGAAATTCCATGAACAAAGCTGAACAAATAAATTGCAAAGCAAAGAGGGGAGAAGGGGGAAGAGTACCTACAGAAGAGAGACTTAAGAGGCTTAAGAGTACCTACAGAAGAGAGACTTAAGAGGCTTTTGCAGTGTTTAAGCAAAGCAAATATAAAAAATTTCAAACAGGAAAATATGAACTCAGAATATTTGATATTAAGAAATTATTTTTCTAGTGTGATATGTGCTATTTTTTTTAACATCTTTAATCTTTTAAAGACACAAAATAGTCATAAAATCTGCTATTTGCTTCAAAATAATCTAGTGGGAGGCTGGCTATGAGACTAAATAAAATAAAATGGCCATTATACTGACAATAGTTGAATCCGGGAGATGTGTCTACACGGTTTCCTTATGTTATTCATTTCTGTACATATTTGAAGATTTCTATTAAAAGAAGGATGTTTTTGTTAAGTATGAAGTCTAATAAAGGCTTTAGTAGGAGATGAAGCAGATCTAAACATTTTTAAAAGAGAGATACAAGCCAGTGCTATTAGAAGTGGAAGAAAGTCTCTAAAATACTTTCTCAGCCTATCTTCTACTTCCACTGCATTTTGGTGATGGGGGGGGGGGCAGGGGGGAGACAGGAGGGTGCATGGAGAATCACAAAAACAAAAGGTTTTCAATATATATAAGACAAGATCAAGTGACTGTAAAATTCTGTGACTACCCCACCATTCACCTCAACCCACTTCCCCAGAAATACAGTTCTAAATTCACATTAAGTCTTGCCTCCTCATACCTGGAATCAGGAACCCTACTCTAAGAAACTCATTATCAACTGGCTACCTAAAAGAAGGTACTCACTTTTTAGTAGAGAAAATTAAAAGGAATCAGGTTTAAAAATCAAATCCATTAAACATTTTACAAAGAAAACTTTACGTCCTGGTGGCTTCACTGGTGAATTCTACCAAACATTTAAAGAAGAAATTATACCAATTCTACACAGACTCTTACAGAAAAAAAAGAAAAGGGACCATTTCCCAATTCATTTTATAAAGCCAGTATTATTATTATCCTAATACCAAAATCAGGCAAAGATATTACAAGAAAACAAAGCTATAGATCAATATCCCTCATAACAGACATAAAAATCATTCATCAAAATCCAGTATTCAGAATATATAAAGAACTTCTACAACTCAATAAGTACAATTCCATTTTTAAATGGACAAGAGATTTTAATAGACACTTCAAAGAAGATACCTGAATGGCCAGTAAGTTCATGAAAATATGTTCAACACCATTAAATGTTAAGAAAATGTCAATTGATAACACAATGAGATACCACTATACCCTCACTAAAATAGCTAAAATTTATAATAAGATTGACACAAGAGTTTGTGGGAGCAATAGGCACTCACATATATTTCTGGTGAGGGTATAAAATGATACAGCCACTTTGAAAAACTTTCTGGCAATACCCTAGATACAGTTAAACATACACTCACCATACAACCAGCAATCACACTCCTATGTAATTAAAAGAGAAATTAAACATATGACAACAAAAGGCTTGAACACAAATGTTCATAGCAGCTTTATTCATAACGTCCATAAACTGGAAACAACTCAAATGTTCATTTCCTGGAAAATGAATAAATTGTGTGTTAAATCCATACAATGGGTTACTACTTGGCAATGAAATGAATTACTGAAATACACAATGACACAAATAAATCTAAAAAGCATTATACTATGTGAAATAAGTCACATGCAAAATATTGTAGTTTCTGATTCAATTTAGAAACAGCAAATCTACAAGTAACAAAG